TGAGGTAGGTATATGGGAACTCAATCTCTGTGACTCTTCTGTAAATCTAGAATCATTTTAAAATAAAGAAAAAATGAAGACCTCAGAATTATACACAAACACACCCATTGCTATCAACTACAAAAATAATTATTGTACAAAAAAGTAGGTGGGCTTGAAAAACATTTTCAGAGTTTTAAAAATACTTTGCTTTTGGGGTGTCTGGGTGGCTCAGATGGTTAAGACCTTCATTTCAGGTCATGATCTCCAGGTCCTGGGATAGAGCCCCACGTCGGGCTCCCAGCTCAGCGGGGAGTCTGCTTCTCCCTCTCCCTCTGCCTCTCCCCCTGCTTGTGCTCTGCCAAATCAATAAAATCTTTAAAAAGTAAAAAATAAAAATATTTTGCTCTTTGGGGAGGGGGTTAAGGAGGCGTGGCTGAGCGCGTGTGTGTGCACGTGCGTGTGGGGGTGTGGGGGTGTCTGTGGGTGTGGTGGGGGTGGTGTGGTCATTTTACGTTGCCATCGCTATTTAGAGGTTTCACTGAACAACTGATTGTCAAGGCGCCCAGACTCACAGTGGCTGGAGAGGGTTTGCAACACCCACATCCTGAGAGCCTGAAAATGATTTTAATTTTTTTAGCATGTTAACTTTCACTTAGGAAGAAAGACACGTTCTATAATAACTTTTTAGTAATGAGCCCTTAGGGGCTATATTTATAATTCCGTGGCACATGAAATTAATTTTTTTTTTCTTAAAGAAAGGATACTTTCTGCTTATCTGGGGGGCACTCAGTTTTCTAGTTTTTGGCAGATTGAAGGAATGTGCAGGGTTATCTAGAGAAATAACTTACTTCTACAAAAGAACCTGAACATCTAGAAAATCTAGGTCTTGCCACTCCTCCCTTCTTAGGTGCTCTAGGTGACATTAAACAGGAATGAAGGGGGCAGGTGGTAAAGGACAGAGGGTGCATGTGTGTTGTGGGGGGACTCCTCCAAAGTGACTTCACTGAAGTCAGTTCCAAGCTCCCTGGCTTTTTCAAAATTGGTAAAGAATAATTTCATTTAGGGCTGCTGGATTTTACGATGGTTGTAATTCTGAGAGAACAGCTTGGCCTTCCCTGCAAGGCTTCCTGTGCCCATTTCCACTGGGAGGTAGTGTGACCATGCATTCATCCAGAGAAGCACAGCCAGACTCCTCAACGGCCTCAAAGGAACGTCAACCCTGCCGTGTCCATGGCGAATGAAAGTATGTAGATCTTCCAATCAAGAGCGATGCAGCCCATCTCCACTCCAGCCCCCTTGGCTTCCTCCTGTTCAGGCCCAACCTTGACCATAAGCCTCACTGAAATCGTACTACTACGGGAGGGTTTAAAACACCCTGCAGCCCATCCCTTCCACTTCTAAAGTCCAGTTCATCACTGCCTCAAGTCAGACCAGCAAGCGAGGCCACACTGCCGTAACCTTCTATCACTTTACTTGAAATGAGTTTTGCTTGGGTGTTTGTCCTTTGCTTCCAATGAGTAATGCTATGAAATACCGACTGACAAAACCCAAATTTCCATATATCTACATATAGTTGGAATATTATTGAGGACACATCGTTTGGCGGTTGCCCCTAAGTAGGGCTCCAAGTGAGAATTTTCCTTTTTTTTTAAATTGAGGTATAACTGACATGTAACATTATATTAGTTTCAGGTGTCTAACACGATGATTCAATATTTGCATATATTGGAAAATGATCACCAAAATAAGTCTAGTTAACATCCATCACCATGCATAGTTACAAATTTTTTTGTTCTTGTGATAAGGACTTTTAAGATCTACTCTCTTAGCAACTTTCAAATTTGCAATGTGTAAGGAATTTTTTTTCTCCAGGTCTAGTGAGCCTGGGCTCTGTAGCTACATGGCCTGGATTCAGATCCTGATGCTATTTACTTACTAGCTGCTTAACCTTCTACGGCTCAGTTTCCTCATCTGCAACATACAGATAATGACAGTTCGGCCACTGGATTTTTGTGAGGATGAGAGCCAGCAGAAATAAAGTCTTAAGGACAATGCCTATAGCAAAAAGTTAACGATGAATATTCATTATTACAGTTACTTTATAAAGAAGCACTAGAAAAACGGTTACATACCATCGGGACTGGGAGGCTTCTGCCTCATGCACATTGTGATTCATATGACATAGGGTTCTAAAACCCTCCGCCCTCCCACTGTGCTGCGGGGTCTGCAACAATGATAATGACAGCATGAGGACCTTCAAAATCCGGGGCGGGCGGGGTTGGCTGCCAACATCTTTTCAGGATTCTGAGCTGTCCTAAGGATTTGTGCTATCCACCCTAAGAATCCTCGATGTAAATAATCACCAAGAGGCACAAAAATGAACCTGCAGGTCAACTTCCATAACTGTGCAGAGTCCTATGATCTGAAAAGCCATATTTTTTTTCTTATCCCTAGTCTGATTTTTTTTTTTTTACATTTTTAAAAAAATTTTATTTATTTATTTGTCAGAGAGGGGAGAGGGACAGCACACGCAGGGGTAGCGGCAGAAGCAGGCTCCCCGCCGAGCAGGGGGCCTGATGCCAGGCTCGATCCCAGGACCCTGGGACCATGAGGGGAGCCGAAGGCAGACGCTTAACCGACTGAGCCACCCAGGCCTCACGCTGGTCTGATCTCTTCTGACTCTTGTCTGTTATCCCAGTACAGACAGATGCACTGATTATTCCTTTACATTTTCTGTGCCTTAAAAAAAACGCATTTGTTTTCATAAGTTTTCTAAGACCTTCTATAAAACAAAGTAGGATATAAAATAAAGAATACCATACATGTACTTTTTTGTTTAGAACTCAGTCCAGCTTCGGCAACTTATGGCAACACAGAACCTCCTTATTAACAGGGGCAAATTCACAAGAGGTGTTGGAACAGACACGTGGGCCCTACCAGGGGCAGATAAAGAATTCAGTGAACAGGACCAGTGGGAGGTAAAAAGAGAAAGCACAACTTGGGTCATGTTTCAACCAGGCCTCCTGTTCCTGGTAACCAATTCCACCTCCCCTCCCGCTTCACCCCTCCCCGCCCACTCTCATCAATTTCACGCGGCCATCACTCCCCAGCCCTTTCCCCCTCCACCTCCAGCCTCCGCCTGATAACCCTTGTAAAACACCTGGGTGCACAGCAAATGAGTCCCGCCTTCCTGTTTTACTGCATCCGCTCCCCGCCATAAAACTTATCTTTAAAGACCAGCATGTTGGGTGCCTGGGTGGCTCAGCTGGTTAAGCGACTGCCTTCGGCTCAGGTCATGATCCTGGAGTCCCGGGACTGAGTCCCACATCGGGCTCCCTGCTCCGCGGGGAGTCTGCTTCTCCCTCTGACCCTCTTCCCTCTCGTGCTCTCTGTCTCTCATTCTCTCTCTCTCAAATAAATAAATAAAATCTTTAAAAAAAATAAAAAAAAAAATAAAGACCAGCACGTTAGCAGCCCACGGACCTGTTCAGAATGCCGCTGGCTTGGGGATGGCCTTCATCTGTGCTGAGCACGTTGCCGCGCAGATTAGCAGCGGCGGGGGCGGGCTGTTCAACTGCGGGCCCCGATTCCCACAGCCCTGATGGCGGCATGGCAGTTTCTAGCCGAAGAGTCAAGGTTTTGAAACTGCATGGTGTTTCCCCATTTAACTATTACTAAGGGAGCTTACTGGCTGTTTTATTCACAGACACCTATCTGCTTTGGGAGTAAGAAAAAATATCGAGGACCAGCTACATAATTTGCAAATGGAAAGGTAATATGCAGAATGAAAATGCAGAGCCCCTGTTCAAAAGGCAGGGGAAAAATTGCCATAAAAAGGGCTGAAACAAAACTGTTGCCTTTCTTCTGCATTCCCTCTCTTCACTCATTACAGTGCGTTTTCCTTGTTATTTAAAGTCATGCTCTCTTGGGCACGGGACACCTGCAGGGTAAGCGCAGACTCTCACAAATGCCCAGGGGCCCTGTCCACTGCCAGGGACCAAAACCTTCTGGGTTCTCCATCCCCGGAGCTGCTGGACTGATGCGCCCACGCCCTGGCCAGGAATGGGGAAACTGAGTCAGGAATACCCCTTTCCCGTGGACCCATCTCCCCTACCCTCCCTGAGGTGCAGCAGATAGGTGACCCTCAAGTATACCACAACACCTGTGCCAGAACACACCAGGTATCCGGATTGGGAGTGGGCTGAACTGTCCCCAATCCAACACACCGCTGTGCTGTCAGCCTGGGCTGGGTAGGCCACTACTTTGCCCTCTCTCGAGATGCCATGGGAGCATGTGTGTCCCAAGCCAGCTCGCCCCATGCTCCCAGTGAGGCCCCTACTAGCAGGAGTGATGGCTGGTTGGAGGCAGGCATGAGGATGTGTGGCAGGGCCTGAGGTGCCGAGGAGGAGGGGAACGAGCAGTCAAGAACGTCTCAGGGAGGTAGGGAGATAGCAGGACTGTTCCTAAACCAAGGCTCCAACTCCCTGGTGCATCGCCCCATTGGACGTCGCTTACAAAAACACAAATCCAAAGATAAGAGTATTAAGAGTTTCAAGATGGCGACCACACTGCATGAAAGCCCAGGCATGGGACCCATCATAAATCAGAGCTGTGTTTGAGAGAGATGGTGCAGGTGTGAGGCTGTTCTGGAAGAGGTGGGCATGAGGAGCCTCGTACCACCCGTCGACAGACCCTCCCATTGCTCTGCAAGGCTTCTGAAGCCCACTCACTTGGACAATAATTGTGACTTATTGTTACACAGACTTGTACTTTGTGCAAAGAACTGAGGTATAGTGAGATACTGGCACAGTCTTGATGGTTATGGAAATCCTCCCAAACCGAACGTGGCCTAGGGATTTATTTCAAGTGTTGGGGAAGTCAGCAAAGAGAGAGGATGGAGGAATAATTCCTCAGTCAGTGGCTCTGGGTTGACAGTTTATAAAAACCGAGCCATTTCCAAAGCCATTACTTCGATGCAAGAACATAACCCGGCTGCTGAAAGCACGTTTCTTACAAACCTTGGCTTCGGGGTCACTATTGATACCACAAGAATCATCATCATCAGCACGTGGGGCATTTCTAGAAAGAAAAACAGAAAACTGGACTTAGAATTCTACTGTAAACTCTAGCTGCACGAAGCCACACATTATGGCAGGTCCTTCCCATGTCTTACCTGAGTTTCAAAGATGCATAGCGGAGTGTTGCTCCTTCAAACTCTTTTAAACTGGGGTCCGGGTTAACTGTGGCTGCATGCAAATCCTAGGGGAAAATAGATCCCTGTTAATGGAGAAAGGGGGAGGGCCCCTGACTTGGCCTCAAATATCAAAGGGGAGAAAAGTCCTCCCGGCATGAGGCAGAGAGTGTATGTGAGCTTAGGCAGAAAAAGGGCATGCAAGGGCTGCTGGATGCTGGCTCAGTGCAAGCCCCAGGTTCTTACAAGAAACAGGGGACCTGGGGCAGTCAGCTTGAAGTCATTCACAAAAGGACACATCAAAAAAAAAAAAAAAAAAAAGGCAACATGTGTGTGAGCTGGGCATTCCTAACAAGCCCCATCACGGCGTCCCTGCAGAATGGATGATATTCATGAAGAAGAAAAAGATACAGCCACAGCCATGCAGAAAGGACAAAATATTAAATGATCTAGAATCTGACAATATACTTGCCTTCCAAATGTCACTATTAATCTTTCCCCCATTCAGAACAGCAAAATCACTCCATGGCTGTTTCTAGACATATAATTATTCACATAGGAAAAAGCACATTGATTTAAAAGAAAAAAAAAAAGGAAAAGAGGAAAAGAAAAAACACAAGACACTGTTGTTAGCATTGATATTCACAGGACGGGTTAGGGAACAAATTCACTCTACCAGCAACTGGTTAGCCGGTTCTAGATCTAGATTATCTCCTGAAGCCTGGGGCGGGAGGAGGAAGATGGTGCTCGCGTTACTTACCACGGAAATGACTGCCCACCGCTAGCAGTTGGCATTAGATCTTCTAGACGTGGCCTCAAGCTCACAGACTAAATGCCTAGTGGACCTAATACCACGGGAAACTTTCTCTCTCCCGGTAACCGAACAGAACTGTCTTCTGGGGATGGGGGCAGGATTAGGGATGGTACCTGTCACTGTGAGGATTTGAAAACGGGGGAATGTCCCCAGTCAAGGGCATAAGAACCTGGGGCTCAAACTATTTCGTGTAAAAGAGAAAAGGACAAGGAAAGGGTAGGGGGGAGAGGAAGGAACGCAGCCGGGTGTCAACATCTGCCGAGATTTAACTGACCAAAAGCAGCTCTCCACAGTCTCATGTAAATTCTTCCAGTTCATAAGAAGCTCTGCTTCCTTGCCACACAAGGAGTGTTTGATCCCAAAATGATTCTGTAAGCAGAATCCTAGGACAAAGCACGAAACCGTGCCTTGTTGGGAGACCGCTCAGAATAGATCTTTGAATCTAAACAGCCCTTCCATTGCCCCCAGACAACAGGCAATGTTGTTGGGGTTTTTTTTGTTTTTCCTTTCTACCACAGTGAGTGAATATTCAAATACTTCTCATGGAACATGTGGGGAAATAAATGAAGCAAACAAAACCCAGGGACATGGTTATGAATGCGTTCCACGGATGTGTCAGGTGAATCACCTCTTTCCTCGGATAATAAATCAAGAGCGGAGACTTCTTGCTCCAGTCGCCTTTCAACTAAAGTGTTTTGAAAATGAGACGGGAATGGGGACCCATGATCTCTGCTCACGACATTAGTATAATTTGGAAACCCACTCAGAGCGGAGGCAGAGAAGTTCAGATGTGCCGAGCGTTGGAAGAGGCAGGCGTTCCTTTAACTCGGCAGGACGCGACGAGCACCGAGTCCCTGCAAATATAGATCTCTCGTCACCACTGCACAGCTGCTGTCACTGTCGCTTTCCTTTTTGGACTAAGCACCCTAACTGCAGTTTTTCAAAATAAAGTGGAACTTACACCACTGTATCTACTTTTTAAAAAATAATCTCTTTTATTGAGCAAAAGAGCAGGAGTGCTGCTTAGCCCTTCGCCTCTATACTCCATCCCCCAAAGCAGGGCTCAGTTTTCACTGAGGAGAAAATTCCTAACACAGGAGGGTCTTAACGTGTTAGTTAGAGCTGGGAGGCCCCCTGACATTGGGCTGGGGTTCTGCGCGTGTGCGTTTTCCTGGGGAGAAGATCCCCCACTCTCCCCATATTTCCAGAGGGGTCGGTGACTGAGAAAGGGTTAGAATCACCCTTGTAGGGGGACTCATACGATAAGTACCTGAAATGCCAAGAATTTTAAGCTAGAATTTCTTTTTTCTTTTTTAAAGGAAAATAAGCCTCTTTGATCCCAAATCATCATCACAGTTTACATGTGAGGAATATTTGTTTTTTCATTAAACTTGAATGTTAAAAAAGGGTATCAGATGGTGAATTAGTAAGACTCCAGGTAATTATGTTCTCATAGAGAAATTGAAAAAAAAAAAAAAAAGAGTGGGTGTCTGACAAGAGGAATCTGAAATCAAATTATCCTCAACAGGCACGGTGTGGGGACAGGACAGAAAGAGTATTTTTTCAAAACAAGTATTCAGAAAAGTCTTCAGCATTTAATTAAAATAGTTCTCTGTATGCGTGTATGGTTTAAAAAAAATTTTTTTTAATGTATTTATGTTGGGTCCCTGTAATGTAAAAGTTGATTATAATTCTAAAATTCTATGAATCCAACTCTTATGCTACGGAGACATGAGTCAGCTGGCAAACTTCCAACAATCACCTCTTATGGAGTTAAATAAACAAAGGTCGTATAAAGCAATTTTTCAAAAGCTAAAATAACATGGGGACTCTTAAAGAAACTCTTTAGTACAAAACTCAAGTATGGGCTAAGAGAACCTATGTTATGCCTAGGACAAAAGACCCTTTTCCCTCCTATATCTAAAAGCTCTCATTTTTAGAAATTCTCTTTCCTACAGAAGTGACCATAATTTTTCTCTTTTTTAAAAAAATTAAGGGCAACAAAATCTGTCTTGAGTTTTAATAACCACATATTCTATTCATCTAATTTTTTTTTTTAAAGAGAGACTACAACATTCTAGCTAATCTTTTTTTTTTTTTTAAAGATAACCCAAAGAGATTGTTTGGTTCTACAGAAAGTCTGTAGTCTGCATGGTGGGAGTGAGAGATGAAAGAGGAGATGAGACAAAGAGACAGAGAGAGAGGGAAGGGCAGGTGGGCACTGGGCCTCAGGAAGGACAAAGATGACGGACAGGGACAAGCCTAGTCAAGGAAAGAACAGAGACCGTGTTCCATGAGCAATGACCTCCCAACTGATAATCTTTCAGGCAATGCAGCTAAATCTTTGCACAATGGAATGTTCTGGGGCCAGAGTTACAGGTGGGGACATACTCTCCTGGTGCTTTTCTTGACCTTGACCAGGTGAAGCACCCCTTCCCCTGATCAAAGTGATCACACTGAGTTCTGGGAGAGCCTTGGAGCCTTAGCTCCTCAGAGGTGGTGGTGTCCCTGGGGAATGACCCAGCCCCTGGAGCATGGTGCTTATCGTGACCCTTCATGACCTTTCAGCATGGTGCCCTTTGTGACCGTACAGCAGAATCTGTGTGAGGGTGGACCCACTAAGGGAATCCAATTGTATAACCTTGACTATGGAGGATTTTCTTCTTCCTTTTTTCTCTTCTGGGATCTCAGAAAGCAATTCTACAAATCAAATGAAAGTGATACACTGTCCTTCTGCTGAAAAAAAGCTAACACTGGAGTGGACGATGTCAATAGCAAGCTCTTGAGGATGGGTCCAGGGGGACGAGAAAGCTTCTAAGAAGTGGTATCAAAATGTAACCTGGAGAGCAAGCATGGAGGGTGAACCTGCTGAGAACCAGGCAGAGAGGAAAGCAAAAGAACGTCCCCTAGTGACTTTGACAGAAGTTACAATCATCACCTCCATGTGCGTGAACTTCAGAAGTTCTGCTGCAAAGCCCGGTTCAAATCCTGCTTCTGCTCTCATCTGCTCTGTGACCTCAGTTCCTTATCTAGAAACAGGGCTAATAAGAAGACCTCACCATCAGAGTGTGGACAAACTGAGATCAAGAGCGTTAGCCCTTAGCATAGGGGCCGCCTGCCTGAAGGTGCCCAAGACATGGCAGTTCCCCTATCCTCTGCTCTCTCTTTCCAGGGAGGAAAAAAAATGGCCATTGGTAAGAATAAAAAACTGGGGGACCTATGGACTATGAAGTATTATGAATTATGCTTCTTAATCCTCTTCTGTCAAGACCTGAGCCTCGGTACGTGTGGCCTTGATGATAAATGCAGAGCACCCAGAATCTCGGAACTCTAAGGAACAGGCCAAGTGATGTTAATGAGCACTGAATCCATAGATGTGTGCACATTTTTTTAACTTCTTTTTAAATGCTTTCTGTGTTTTGGCGGATGGCTTATCACGCAAACATAACCCAGAGAAGTAAAAAAAAAAAAAAAAAAAAAAGAGTTAAACTAGTAAACAGATTGCCAAATACGGGTGCAATTAAATTCATCTCTGTGAGCCAGAGGAGGGTCAGGAGACCCAGGGTTCTGGTGCTAGCTCTGCTGCTATAGCAAGTCAACTAAGAACTCACTCAGCTACGACACTGGTTTATTCCTTCATTCAGCAAACACGTAATGAGCTTCACCATGTACTAGACACGGTGCCAGGTGCTGGGGACACAAGATGAGGGGGAACAGGTCCTCACCCCCACTCCCCCCCAAGGAGGGAGACTGACATGCCACAAGTAATGCTGCTATAAAAAAGACACTACGGAATAAAGGGCTCTCAAAGTGGAGGGATGAGAGCAGTAATTCCCAGGAGAAGCTGGGATGGGTCCAAAGAAGAAGTGAAATATAAACAAAGATAGGGATACTAGATTCATTAGAGGGCCAGCTCTTGTACTTCCTCCACACAGAATCACCTGGAAAGCTTATGATAAAGGCAGACTTCCAGGTCCCACCCGTAGAGCATCTAGCTTAGTGGCCTCTGGTAGGGACCAAGGAATCAAAATATTCTACATGCCTCAGAGGTCACCTTGGCCACCGGCCTTGGCTCACAGGCTGAGAACCACTGCCATAGCATTCACTAGGCCCTTCTTGAAGGTTCTCGCCAGTCATGATTACTTTGGGTCAAGAGTTCAGAAAAAAGATGACAGAATAGCTCCTTTGTGTTTTCATCTTATTTCTTAAATATATATGAAATTCCACAGGTTCTAATGTAATACACGGAATTTCCCCTCCTAGGGAGTTAGCAGCTCAGGGCCCTGACAGATCCCAGGAGTAATGCAGCAAGAACAGAGTGAATTATGATCAAGATCACAGTTCTGAGAAGCAATTCCCCATCCCCTTGCTCCAAACGCACTTTCTCCTCCATACTTCTCCTCTTAAGGAACCAGGAAACACCTTCAGTTGGAAACATTATAAGACAAGACTTGCCTACAGGCCAACAGTGATTCATAAAAATACTTAGTGTAGCTCCTTTCTTCTCTCTAAAATTCGACATCCAAGTAATTTGGAACAAATCGATGGACTGGGGAGGGGAGAGGGAGCTCACTGTGGGCCCAATTTTAATAGCAAATGCTTCCTGGCCTGTTTATAAACTTTAGAAAATACTGCTGGCGTGCACAGAGGAAGCATTATCCACTGTGCTTAGCACCTCCCTGGTGAGCTCTGGAATGTGAAATGTAAAATTTTCAAACGGTAAGGAAGCTTTCAGTACAAAACTTTCGTGAAGCAGAGTCAACAGATTTGGGTTGTTTTTTTCCCCCCTAAATGAGCTTGGGGGAAAAGCTGAATAAAATATGCATTTCTAACATGACATATTACAAGTTTCTTCTCGTCCTTAACATTTTGTTTTCTCTCATGGTTCCAAACTAGTATGAAATAGATTCTGTTTAGAGATCAAAGAAATGGTGTCAGGGAAATCATCATCTCTCTTCCACTGTCATTAGTACCTGAGACAATGTTATCAAGAGAAGTCATTTTCTAGAAGGCTCTGCATAGGACACTGCCTGCCCTTGGATTGAGATGAAGAGCTGTGAGACTCGCCAAGCCCCACCGATAAACAGAACCGTGAAACCTGGGGTGGGGTGGGGTGGGGGTCAGCAGACCTTCATTGAAGCTTGGTTCCACCACTAACAGGTGTGTGACCTCAAGCAAGCTTCGCCTCTCAGTCTTAGTGTTGTCAAGTGTAAAAAGCGAAGGACAACGACAGTACTGATGCATAGGGTTCTATTAGGAGTCACGGGATAAGGCACGAGCTTGACACCATAAACACTCCATTACCTTTGGTACCTCTGGTTTAATATCCATGTCAGCGTCTAAACGTCCTGGGTATACATACGGCAGGCTGGGTCTTTCTCCTACCCCCCGTCCTCTTCTCTCTACATGCCCATACGTTTGCTTCTAGGATTTTAACATACTGCCTTTTAAATGTGCTTGGTTTTGGGACATAATGGCCTACGTACACGGGGAAAATGTGTATGAAGTGAACAATCAAAAGGCTGATTGGAAGAACATCTAGTCCATTGGTCTATTAAAGTGCTGGATAGGAGTGGCGCTCTCTCTCTCTCTCTCTCTCCCTGAAACTTAAAATGATGCGTCCTTTAACAAAGTTCCTTGGAGGGATAAGGGTCAGCACAATGGCATGGTCAATAGCAGAAGAGAGGCATCAGACGGACAGCAAGGTAGAAAGTCACATAGTACCAGGGGCAGAGCATAGGATCCGGAGTCTGAGAACTAGACACATGCCTCTCCTACACCAGCTGCACGGTTCCTGAACTCACTGAGCTTTAGTTAACTCTTTTCTTAAGTAAGGAACATATCAGCTGTCCTCTCTGTCTTGAAGGGAACAAATGAAATGACATTTATGAAAATACACTGAAAGCCACACTAAATCATGAATAGCAGCAGGGACCCTGAGCGCTGTGGATACATTAGGGGAACACTGAACCCACGGAGAGGAAGCAGGAAGCGAGGGCCATGGGACACAATCTGAGCCTGGGAAGGGGCCCTGAGAGGTAGCTAGGACAGGAATGGGAGGCGGGTGTAGAGAAGGGGAAGAACAGGCCCATGTGCGCATCAGGAGGCGGCTCGGGGATTATAGGTGGACTCTGCTGCCTGACCATCCTCCCCAGGGCCAGCTGCCTACCTGTGATGCATTCTTCCCAAGGTTTTCTGCAGAAAACATGGAAATGAAAACCTGCCATATTCATCAAAGAAATAAAACTCCAAGCCCCATAAACCTTGGGCTGCCCTCCTTGGACTTTACCACATCCACACCTCGGCCTCAGGAGGCAGGCTTTAAGAAGAACTTCATTTCTTCTACATGCAGAGGACAAGAGTTTCCCAGGACAAAAGCGACATCTCAAAGGGAATCTCATCTAACTTCTGGGACAATGAGAAAGCAGAGTAGGCTGGAATCTCAAAGCCAGGGAAGTGGAGTGAGAACAACCCTGGCCTAGGATTCAGGAGCGTTCAGGATCTCTGAGTTCTAGACCCAGCGGTGTCGCCGGTCACTGTCCTGTCTGCGCCTCAGTTTCCCTGTCTGTAATGTATGGATCCTGGGATCAGCTGACCCTTTCCCATCCTAGCATTCTCTGGTTGGAGGGTACTCCCATGTGAAGATGGTTAAAGGGTTAAAATAGGGGAGCGAAGCCCTGGAATGGAGAAAGAGAGTCTAACAAAGATGCCAAGAGAAAGGATGTACAGGTGAGAAAAAGAGAGAAAAAGAGAGCAGAGGTGGTGTCCTGGCTGGCTCGGCTTCTGGGAGGCCACTCGGAGGCCCAGGGGATAATGCCAAGACACAAATAGGCTGGGATCGGAGGAGGACTCCATGTCATGCTAAGCTCCTTGAGGTTCATCTTTGTCCCCCAGCGCACCTAACAAGATGAGTAACTGAACGGAATTTGCTCAGCGAAGAGGAACATGATACTTCAATAAAAAGTTACCATAAGCTGCCCAGTGATAAGCAACAAAATCCTATGTGGTTCAGCAATAGGGAAACACGTGCCTGATTATCAGGCTCACGTGCCAACCAACCAAGGCCCCTGTCTCTCAAGGAGGGAAGAGCTCACCCCAACCCGTCACTGGAAAGACGGAGAATCTGAGGCCTAGGCTTGAGGAAGGGAGATGCTGAAGCCCTGTACTAGGAGGAATGGGCTTGGAATGTAGGTCTTCCTGCCTCCCAGAGAAGAGCAAGTCAATAAGCCCGGATGTAAGAAACAAGATACCGTCTCCTTTCAAAGCCAGGAAGGCTGAGAATGGTTGCAAGAACACGGAGGAGTTCTGCCGGGGAGAGACCCCCAGTTTAGATCCCCTCCAAGGCCTCAAGGTCAAAGAACATGGGTTGTTGAAAGAACAAAAGACTGTGGTCACATAGGCAGACGTGCCTGTGTTAGCATTCCAACTACTTTTCCGGAAAAAGCCATCGCTTACTTGTGACCTTTTCCAACGGCCACACTCTTGAATATTTTGTTACCGGGATTCACAAAGGTTTGCCGCAAGAATCTCTGTACTAATAAATACCACAGTGGAATTTTTTTTTCATGCCTCAATTCTTTGTTTAAACATCACATTTCCTCCTCGGGGATAGCAGAAATTTATGCTGCTATTTATGTCTAAAATCATGTCACTTTTGCTAAATAAACAGATCCTTTAAAAAAAATACAGAAATAACGCACTGAAGGGCTCTCAAGGGTTATTCTTGCAGACATCCCTTCCATGCAGTCAAACGGACCTAAGGCTAATAAGAGATGCAGTAATTATAACACATCTGGCCAAGAGACATTCTTCTGTGTGTAAATATTTTATGGAGCAGCACCATGCGAGGGCACCTGCAGAGTAAAGTATCGGTTCAGTGAGCCCCAGGGAATCTTAACCACTTCTCATTAATCAGCCTCCCTTACTTTCTATACCTAGAATGCTGTTTTCAAGAGACCAAAAGCCACGAAAAAAATGAAAACATCCCTGAACGATGGTATTAAGGCTATTTACACTAAGAGGAAGCATTTTTGGGTTTCAAATGCAGCATGCATGATAATCAAAAAACTTACCTTGATGACCTGGTGGGGCAGAAGCAACAAGTCTAAAGAGAAATCACAAGTCACATCCACTCTACTAAGCTGTTAAAAAGATACTCCATTTTACCTCGTGCTCTGGGGTGGGAGATGGCGTTACAGAACTAAGTGACCCTTTCCTAGAACCATGAAGATCGGCTGGGATGGAGACGGGGCGTTCCCACTGAGTCGTCCCTGTGGGTATGTGCCAATAATAGGTCCCAGCGATGTCGTTGATTCTCTTCCAGCCAGGCGGCAAATCTGGATCAGTCTGAAAGGAGTGATCACTCCAGATATCTGCTGGGAAATGGAAAACAAGAGGGTTTTCTTAAAAGAGGAAACAATTAAAGTGTTCCATTTTTGGCACTAATAGTCCGGAGAATTCCATAGGCAGATATGTCGGTAGCACTACTGACAACTAAAGCCATCCTGTGGACACAAAGTATGGTAAAGGGGACAATACGGAAAGAAATAAGAGAACTGGAAAGGAAGACGGACACTTGAGAATACAGACATAAAGGACCCATGATCACGTCATCTTACAGATTCAAGAACCCCATGAACGAGCTAAAGCTCCATTAGCCAAAATCAACTACCCAAGCAAAATTTGCAAGGTTACACACAAAATCTACTGACTCCTTTACAAATCAGTAAGACTTACCAGTTGGCATCTTATACCATTCTCAGCAATGAGTATAACTCTCATTTTTTTTAACGACTTCCTGTAAATGAGTACTGTATTTATTTCTTCTTCCCTTTGCTTTCACAAGTCCTCCCATTTGACTGTAAACATCTACAAAGCGGGGATGTCTTCTGTAATACTCCAGAATTCTAAATTGTACACAGAAGATTCCTAAGGAAGGCAGACCGGAAAAGCCTTGGAATTCAAGACTGGTAATGTGAATTCATGAAGGAGGGGGGGTGTGGAATACAACAGAGAATGGTGGGGATTGTGGCAAAGGAAAGCAGGTGCAAAGTCCAAAGGTGTTCAAATTTTAAAAAAGTGATGTTTTAAATACTGTGTGTGTGGGGGGGGGGGGGAGAATAAAACACATGTGCTGAGCAATTTCAGCAATCCCTGTCCTGTATCAATATTTTATCAGTTTACTGGAGACTGGTTTGCTTTTCAGAATCTCATTTTGGCCTTCTTTCAGTTGAATATGAGAGGAGTTGAAGTGCACGAGGAAAGAGGAGAGAGAAGCACGTAGAGGAGGAAGTCCACAGAGACAGAGGCACAGTGGGGAAATCCCAGGCAGCTGTATCAACGGATGCGTGTAGGCAGTAAAACTTAAGAAACCTCTGTTTCAATCGGGGGATCACTTTTTTCTACGGATCAGGCCCTTTCCCGTGGAGCCATTTGCAAGAACGGGGGCGGGGGGACACATCGCAGTAATTCAAGAGAGAAGCACATGGGCCTTACTCTGTGCAAATGTCACCGCATCACGTGGGCAGGGGTCACTGCCGCTGTTCCAGGGGCAACAAGGAGAAAGGGGACCAAACAAAGAGGCTGATTAAGACTAAGGGCACAGATGTGCATTCATGCGCGTGTTTGGCATCCCAGCATTCACTTTTCTCATTTAAATCTGCCAGAGGCAAAACTGCCACTTGTCTCAAATTATGATGGAAATTTCACCTCCCCCCACAGGAAATTAGGCATAATTAAATAATTTCAACTTACCCCAAATTTTCAGAAACTACTCGAAACAAACATGTATACACTCCTTTGTCCTGTCTCCTTTTTAGGGGGTGGAGGGGTTGTTTTGGTCTTTTGCATCTCAACTGGGACAGGAAAAATAAAATACACGGGTGTCTGGATTAAGATGGAGAAAATCCTACCAAGGGTATTTCCTTGTCCCATTCTAGTGGTTTACAGAACCACACTTTGGGACTTGAAAGGACATAAAAAGGATGCCAGTTGCCATTTCTGTGGTTTTTGAAGTCCGAGGGCCAGAGTTTTATACATTTATCCTAGCTGTCTCTACAGCTGGGACATGAGCATGTACCAGAATACGGAATCATGTCGGACCAAGGACAGAAACCAAGATCTCTGCGGAGATTTTGTTGGAATAAAAATTAAAAGGGGATTTATTCCATTGCTAAAAACTGATGATGGTGATATGATTATGATGGAGAAAGTGAGGTCGGCAATTCTACAGTATTATTAACAGTTCCAGAAACATTTACAGAATCCCTTCTGCATCATCCCACATTGGGTTTTAAGGGATGTAAGCCCTGTGAGGGCAGAGACATCATAACTGTCTTGTCCATCATTGGATGAGTGGTGGATGGAAGGAAGGAAGGAAGGAAGGAAGGAAGAATAAACAAGGAGTGAGGGAGGAATGAATGAATGAATGAATGATGTCTTTGAATGACGGATCTTAGCAAAAGAAGAATTCTGAAGAAATCAGTTCTGTGCAGTTTCACAAAACAGAGCAATTTCACAACCCCCAGGAATAGCAATGTTTACTTCCCTTTGATGGTGTATGTGAATGTTCTTATGGATAAAAGGAAACATAATATGACAAACTGGAAAGAGTCCTGGGCTGGTGGCCAAGAGAGTCTGAGTTGAGATTTTGGTTCTTTTCTTATTGATAGGTTCCACAGGGAACAGTAAGAAATAGGCCTTCAGCCTCATTACAGTTCATTTTGTTTAACCTAAATAGCCCCAATTTCCTTTGTTTTCCTACATAATAAAATGATGTATATATTTAAGTAAGTACTTTGGACCTTATTCAACAGGTCCGTAGTTTTTCAACTGTCACCACATTGGGAGGAAGACAGCGGTGCAGGGGGGTGGAATTCCAGGTCCCTCTAGACCCTTCTGACCACAGCAGCACCATTTTTATCTGTTTCCCATACTAGTGTTGTATGCATGATTTTCCGTGAAAACAGGGATCAGGTTTCTTCTTACTGTTATTGTTTAAAATTAAGTTTGAAACCATAGCTAACACCAAAGTACAGTGGGGCCAAGACATCTAAATCCCAAGAAGCCACTTCTGTCAAAAGATGATTCAAAACATTGCAAAGCGGCTTAAAATGGTTGCCCTCGTATGAGTACCACAGTGCATATGGCATGAAGAAGGGCACACAGACTCAATCAACAGAGGAAAAAATCTGTAAACACCAGGTGGTAAGAGGAGAAAGTTCCAACCCCTTTTGATTCTCAGGAAATTACTTAGTGAAGGTTTGCTGATGACATGGCAGAAAGGAAACGATGTCTGATGGTTTCATTGCCCTTCTGATGCTCAGCAGTTTTCTCACACTGAGCTGTCTGTCATGCACCCCTTCTTGACAGATCTGCCTTGAGTTCTGAAGTCATGGTATTCCTAGTTTTCAGCGGGAATATTCTAAAAGACCTCCATCCTGGAGAACTTTCCTTTTTGGGAAAGTACTGTGGAACAGTAACCTTAGGAAGATCCAGTCAGCACTGGACAGCAGGAAGCAAACCATAGCATTTCATCCCAGTTACCCAACCTCAAGACTGGAACGCAGACCAACTGCTGGTGGGGAGGGGGGTTACTTAGGGAAAGATTATAGGAGGCTTAAGATGGAGAAGTCTCTAGAAAGCCTGAAGAGCATTTTTAAATACTCCAGTAAAACTAGACATGAGGGGAGTCAGTAAAGACTCTAAATATGGCATTATGCAGCCTGGCATGGCAACCAAGTGTGAACTCTGCATGGGGCCTTGGTATTCTGGCTCAGCCAGTCATTGTCTGAATAACCTCCGACAAGTTACTCAATCTCTTTGGGCTGAATTCAGATGCTTATCTGTAAAACAGGGACCAAAACACTATCACTCTACATCACCGAGTATTGTGTAAAACACTCAGAATAAAGGTTGACATATAATAGGCACATTTACCACATAAATGTTTGCTGTTAGGGGCGCCTGTGTGGCTCAGTTATTTGAGCGTCCGACTCTTGGTTCTGGCTCAGGTCATGATCTCAGGGCCATGGGATTGAGCCCCCTGTTGGGCTCCGTGCTCAGTGGGGAGTCTGCTTGAGATTCTCGCTCTCCCTCCCCCTCTGCCCCTCTCGCCCACTAGCTCTCTCTCTCAAATAAATAAATCTTTTAAAAAATATTCAAAAATATTTTAAAAATATTCACTGTTATTGCTATTATTATATATCATAGGTCTCCAAAGCGAACAATATATTAAGTTCACTAAACCCACTATAAAAAAAGATTTTCGTATGTCCAAAGGAAAATGCTCATTACAGAATTTATGGGATTATGTGACCATCATGGTTCAAAGAATAAAGATAAAAGAAGATGATCTTAAGGTGACTCTTACTCTGGAGAAGGTCCAGCAGACTCCCTTAGCAGGGCTGGGCCAAGAGGACCTGAGCAGGTCAGGTAAGACCAGATTCTACCCACCATGTCTTGCTGGGCTTCTTCCCTGGCTGGCTGTGGCTCTGCCAATACCTTCTCTTTCTTCAAATGTCTGTCTGTCTCTCAACGTGTAAGTAAAAAAATAAATATTTCATAATTTTAATTTTAATTTTAAAAGTAAAGATTCATGTCTCCCTGTCATCTCCTTTAAAGCAGATTAGCGGGGCAGCTGGGTGGCTCAGTCAGTTAAGCATCTGCCTTCAGCTCAGGGCATGATCTCAGGGTCCTGGGATTGAGTCCCACATCGGGCTCCTTGCTCAGTGGGGTGTCTGCTTCTCCCTCTCCTTCTCTCCTCTCCCCTGCTCATACACCCTCTCAAATATATATATGTATATATTATATATGTATATAAAAGTGATTTGCTAAATTTTTCCTAGGTTTCTCTCAAACACAAACCAACCCCAAATGAATAAGTTATCTTGTTTTTGTATGATTCCTGAATATTTTCTCCCACTGTGGGTCTAGGGCCTTCATTACAAAAAAAAGTCCCCTACCGTAAAGTAAAGCACATCTTCACATACGTTACTGCATTTAATGCTCTTCTCAATGGCAGCTGGAAAGCAAGGGAGGGAACATTTAGCAAGCCAGGACAAGAATCCAGGCCTTTCAAGGCTGAAACCCAAGTGCTATTAGCACTGCCAGGAGGTTCTAAGAGCGAGTAACAATACTGCTGTGTCAACAGACAAAGTAACAAGGGTCCTGACACCCAGGTCCTTTATTACTTCTTTACCACAGGGGCTCATGGAGGGTCCACAGCTACCCTATGAAGAACATAGTAACGTCATCCCCTTTCTAAGGCTCAGGGAGGACAGCTGTTTGGTTTAAAGCCAAGGGGGGAGACTATGTGCCCATGTTTACATGGCTGTTACTTTTTCAGACACCTGAGAAAAATCAATATGGACAG